GTCGTTGTTGCGATCTCCCCGTGTGAACTCGCCCCTGGTGTCCTGCTCCAGGATTGCTGCCGCAGCTTCGTCCTCGGGCGTTGCGTAGCTGTGCCCATCGTTTGCATAAGCACGGTTTGCATTCGTCTGCTCGTCGTGGCGGAACTGGTCGAGGAAGAGGCGTTCGTAGAAAATCACGTCGCAAGCGTGGGTGGTCTTCTGACTGAGCAGGTCCAGCACGATCCACGCCTTGTGCTCATGGCTGATTCCGAGGTGAATGCCCCAACGTGCGCGGCTGGCGAATTTGCCGATGGTTGACGTTGGCGGGTGGTATTGGACCATGCACCCCCACAAGCAGAGCATGGACGTGTCCCCCTTGGTCCCGGTCCACTTCACATGCGGGGACAGGTTGCCGGTGATGGCGGTAGTTGACAGTAAGTTATGCACCCACACGTTGTGGTGCATCGCGTAAGTCCAGTAAATCGGCGGCAGTTTTGACTGCTTCATCAATGCTCGCACCTTCGTCATCAGCGTGCGGTTCGTCCGCTCAGCTACGCCCTGCTGCTGGTGTCGATCCACACATAGCACGTTCCGGCGTCGATGAAGGTAAGCGTGTACATTTCGTCGTCGACTCCGCAGTGCCCCACGTTCAGGAAATCGATGTACACCTTGTACAGCTTGGGGTAGCGGTTCGTCCCTGGTTCGAGCAGCGGGAACGGCTGGTGGCTTAGCGCAGCTTCAGGGCAGACGGTGCAGTTGCGCGGATGTGTCATGCCTCTCACTTCGGTGCCGTCTGGGCGTAACAGCGCCCTAGGAGCGAAGACTCCTGCGTCGATGCAGTTCTTCAGTGTTGCACGCGAAGGATGTCCGAGACGCTGATGCCAGAGCGCATCGTCGGCGCGAAAGCCGGAAGTACGCATGTAACGTGTGCGAGCTTCTTCGGGGTCCTCATCAGGTACAGGGGCATGTGCTGCTGGTGCTTCTTCTACTGCTTCATCTTCGTCGTTGGCGGTAGTCAGCATTAGCGCCAGAAACTCTCTGTCGCGAATCTCAGAGAGAGGAATGTTGGTCCCATGGATAGTTCCAGGGAAAGGGATCGGATCGTGCGACTTGGGAGCAGGTCTGTAGACGGTGCGACGCGGGTTTGACGGGTCGTTGCCCCAGTCGATGGTGTCCCAAGGGTCGCGCTGCGGTGGGTTGTCAAGAGGAGGTAATGCGAGTGGAGTGCGGCGCGGAGGACGACCAAGGGGAACAACTGCAGGTGTCGCCTCTGTTTCCTCTGCTTCATCCTCTCCCCCCTTTTGTTCTTCACAAAAACTCCCCCAGCAGCTGTTGTCGGCGCCGGTTGCGGCGCCCCATCCCCCGCTTGCGTTGGCCCAGGTTCCGCCGCTGGCTTCCCATCCGCCGGTATCACTCATTCCCCATCCACCAGCGCTTCCCCACCCCCCTTCATTGGAGGCGCTTTCTTCCGCTTCGGCTCCCCATGCGCCGCAAGCGAATGTCCCGCGCGCTTCGGCGAGGCTTTGTTGGCGGAGCTCCTCAGCTTCGCGGCGCGCCAGTTCTTCCTCCTCCTGCACTGTGAGTTTTCGTGTGGGGTAGACTTTCAGAAACTCTTCGAGGGTATAGGGGCGTGCGACTCCGCGTGCGTCGAAACTTCCACGGCTTTGTCCGCGCAGGATGCCTTCGAGGCGCTGTGAGGGTGGTCCAGCGTGGGGGCTTTGGTCGGTGCCGAGAACACGCTGAGTGGTAACTTCTAGCTCCAACTGCGACATTCCTTCGTCTGGCGGCGCGTGGCGCTCAGCTTCAGCGATGGCGGCAAGTCCGCAACCGGCAATCGCACTGGTTGACGCTATTGGCGTGTGGCAGTCCCTGCAGATGCCATCTGGGTCAGGGTCATGCAGCGCCGTTTCGCATGGGTGGTGATGATGTGGCACCCACGGTCTTCCGTCAGGGTGTTTCCAGTCCCTGCGGTGGATGTGCTCGAAGCGTAGTGGCACAAGGTCGATTAGTTTGTGCGAGTAGCCGCTGCAGTCGGGGATGTCGAAGTCCAGTACATACACTCCATTTTCGGAGTGTGCTCGTCCGATCTGCCGGCGGGCGAAGGTTTTTGATTCGTAGTGCAACAGAATGTCGCGCGTTGTGCGGTCCGTGCTGAGATCAATGCCGCAGTCCATGAGCTGTGCGGCGGAAAGCAAGTTGAAGCGTAGGTTCTGGACGATCAGCACATCGTTGAGCGTGATGTGCGTGCGGCTTCCGCGTGCCTTGAGCATGACGATGCCTTGCGCGCTTGCGTGCAGGCGTGTGTTGTTAGCGATGGTGACGTAGGTGACAGTGGGGGTGGCGACGGCGTTGGATATGTAACGCTTAGAGCCCACCATATGCTGGCCGCAGCAGCTGTCCAGGTACCAGGTGTTGTAACGCTTGTTGTCGTCACGTGCGAGCTGCGCCAGTCGCGATGTGCGGGGTGTCAAACTTCAGAAATTGCTCGCGCGAGAGCCAGTCGAGTGGCGCCGCCCGCATATCAAGTACGTGCGGGGGACTTTCAAGCAGCGGGACTGGAAGATTCCAGTCCTGGTCGTCGTCGTCGGTGTAGTCGCGGCGCGGACTGAACGGGTTGTTGTTGGAGAACGCGCCAATTGGGTGCGGTGCTGGCTCGGGTGAGGGTGAGCGCACGCGGCGGCGACGCGACTCGCCTGTCATGGCCATGTTGCTCATGACGTTGCGTACTGGGGTAGTCGATGACGGCTGCTGCTGCTGATGCTGAACCACTGGGTTCAGGTTGCGCGCGGGTGGGGGTTGATACCCCTGGGCTGGACGCACATCGCCTCGTGCGTCTTGTCGGCCGGACCAGTTACTCGGATTGGTCTGGCGAGGGCGAGATCGGGACTTGCATCGATCCGCCAAATGCCCGAAGTTTCTGCAGATTTTGCAGTAGAGGCGCCGCGGTCTTCGCTCTTCGTTGTTGTCGGCGTAGAAGGCGAGACGTTCTCGTTCTCGTCGTGGCACTGGTCGCTGCTGATCCATATCCCTTTGTTCGACGAGAAGGGCGGCGCAAAGAGCGGCCTCCGAGATGACCCCCTGCTGTCGGAGAAGCGCCTTGCAGGGTCGCCACTCTGGGTCGAGCCCTTGAAGCACGATATTAACGAAGATTTCTTCCGAGATCGAGCTTCCTAGCTTCACGATTTGGTCGCGAAGGCTCCGACAGCGATTGATGTAGCTGTTGGCCTTCTCCCCTGGGGCCATTTTGGCGTCGTCGGTGTCCTCAGTGGGCTCCGCGTAACTCTCGTCGAAATAGTGAAAAATCTGAGCGTTCTGCAGCAGGAGCTCCAGCTCGAAGCTCCAGGAATAGAAGTCTCTGCTGTCAAAACACACGCTTGTCTTTGTTTTTGATATGCTGAAAAACCTTGATTGCGCAGAGAGAATTGCCTCTTCACTGGGACGGGGAGTCTTGGGGGTTGAACCATTTGTGTCGAGGGAGAATGTGTGCGGGGCGGCGTTTTGGCCGGTTGGGGCTAGTTGAGAGGGTTGCGAGGATGTTCCCGCGTCGCCGTTCCGCAATGTTTGGAGACCTTGCTCCAGGCTGGTGAGTTGCTGAAGAAGTTGTGCGAGGACTTCGGTTTCGATCGTCGTCGTTTCCTCGCTTGTCGCAGCCGGATTGGGTTGCGCTTCAGCTGTCAGATTCGTCTGACCGCCAGATCCTCTGGCCATTCTTACACGCGAGCGTGTGCCGGACGCCACTTTCCGAATGTCGTAATTTTCGGGAGTGGCAGTGCGAAAGATTCCTGAGTCGCTCTCAGACCATGTTGCGATCAGAAGTAGATCGTAACCAGGATCACCTCAGGAAGGTTCGCACATTTCTCGTCTAGTGGTGGTGGGCCCTTGACCTCAATAGCAGAGTGAATGTAAAATGCTTGAGATGATAAAAAAATGCAAATACAATGATATAAATAAGAGTACAGGGGAATACGAATCGACCTAGCTAGCCATGTACTCTAAGGGGTACATTCCCTTATTCAAATTCATTCCCAACCGTGCGGCGCGTACAGTTACGAAACTGTTCCCACCAGAATCCCTCTTGCCTGCAGCTGCCCAATGCCGTCTGCTCCTACGGGCCAGATGCATCCCAACCGTCTGACGCTTCGAGTCAATTCTGACTCTTCATATTCGTGATACTGCATGCTTCCTTAGCTGAGGTCGGGAGTGCACTGTAATCTTCATTTATTGTTATTCGTAACAGGGCTGAACTACATTCCGAGTCGCCCCGCACCAATCGCGACACTCCCAGCCCTCGCACGTCCCGAGGTTCTCGCCTAGCACGTTTCGCCCTATAAATGCTCGCTCCATTGTATTCTCAGCTTACGTAATCAAAGTCTCTTCATAGATTTAGAGAACTCTTTAGTACAACTCATAACATTACACAGGATGCTCAACGATTGCACGCGAGTTTGGTCTGTCCTAGCTCGACAGCCTGCCCAATTGCAAGTAGTACAAGCCAGATGCACGCATGATACAGGCCCCTATTTTGATCGCAGCCGTTGAACAAACAGCTTATCACGCTGCATCCGTCCGTTCGTGAGATATTTAAAAGAAGCTGGTTACATTTTCTCACCTGCCCACTAGAGTCCCGATTTTGCCCGTAGCGAACGTTGGCGAGCAGCCGAAATAGTGTTGCACACTAAACATCCTGTGTACCGTAATATATACCTGCGGACCGTATATATACCTGCTTTCGTTTCCCTTCCAGCTTGCCAAATTTGTTGGAGGGGCTTGACATTCGCCACCGCAGTTCACGGCGGGGATGATCAATAAGTGCGCGATTCGTCTCCCATCTTCCGTTCCCTCGCCATAATTGCTCAAGTCCTCTCCTGCAAGCTCCCGCGCCAGATCGTGTTTGCAGAAAGCAAAACCCAATTCGCCACGGGTTCACAATTGAGCGAAGCCCGGGTGCTGCTAGTGTGTGTGGTTAGTTGTTTTTCAACTCCAGCTGTTCGCGATTGAGCTCCTTACATTTCCGCACAACCATGAATTTCCTTCGCGTCCTCCTCCTTTTCTCTTGCGTCTTTCTCGCGGCCCTGCTCCCAGCCACGGCGGCACGTCCTGGCAGGTCGCTCAAGGGGGAGTCCAGTGACATTCGCGCAGTAGGTCGCTCATCCTCTTCCGCTCCAACCCCGACTGCGTCCACCCTCTCTCTCTCTTTCTCCTTTTCCCGCTTTCGTTCCCTCTCGCTTATCTCTTGAGTGCCACGTTGCTCGCTCACCACCAACCCCTCTCGCACCCGCCTTCCCCCACACTCCTCTTCAGCCATCATCTCTCGCGCTTAATGCTTGCTCTCTCTTCCGTCTTGCTCCCCCGCGCTAGCCCGCCACGAGCGTCACCGTGCCCCCTGTGCTGCAGGCGGGAGGGGCTGAGAGCAAGCTCGAGGCGGGGAACAGCGCGAAGAACCGAGCCCAGAGCACGCCGAAGGATGGCGCACCGGAGAAAACGGCGGAGAAGCCGGGTCAGGGCAAGGCAAAGGAGCAGAGTATCCTGGAGCGCGTGAGCAGCGGGCTGAGGAGCATCGGCGCCGCGATCACGTCGGCGGCGAAGGGGGTAGCGGAGCGCGTGAGCACCATGGCGGCCGCCGTCAGAAAGACGCTCGCTGGCTCTGCCAAACCACCTGCCGCCACTCCCGCGCCAGGCAAGGCACCTCCCGCTGCGCCGGGCGGCACTGGAGCGACCGCGGGCGAGCCTGCTGGTGACGTTGATGCCGCCGCTGCAGGCGGAGGTGGTGCGGCTCCCCCTTCGAAGCCCGCACAGCCCGCACATGGGGCGGGCAGGGAAGGCATTCTGAGCCCTGTGGATGGCGCAAGCGGGAACGGTGCATCTTCCGATTGACACATGCTCAGCCCTTCATCTTCTGTGGGATGGCTTGCTGGCTGGGGGAATGAGCGGAGGGGACAGGTGGCTATATTTTGGCCTTGGCTGTTGCTGGGCCTTTGCTTCATCGATATGCTGTGGTGGATTATGGTGCTGGTTCTAGCCTGGGTTGAGTTTGGATAGATGTGCCTGCTGTACCGGTAATAGTGGTCTCTCAGTCCTATCAAAGCAGTGCTTTATACTGAGAATGTAATGAATAACTGGCTAAGCTGCTATCTCTAATCAACAGCCACCCTGGCCAGGGTGGATGGAGTCCTCCACCTTGCTGCTGCTGTCTAAAAATCCCTCCCAAGTCCCAAGTGATAAAATAATACCGTACTACCATGACAACTTCCCCACAGCCATGCAGAGTCACAGCCCTACATCACACATGGTGGTCCCTTGCGCTCACGCACCCAACCATGCCTCCAGGCTCCAGCTGAGGTCATGTGCTTGAGGCAACCAGATGAAAGAAACCCATGAATTGAGGCCGGTGCATCAGTAGTGCAGCATCGCGACTTCCCTGCCTGGACGTGCTTGCTCCGATGCCAGCTGCACTGCCCCCTGTCACTCACCTCACATCTTGTACATCGCATGACTAGAGTGCGCTATCTAGATGCTGCAACGCACAGCATGGCTCGCTCGTAATACGCCCTCATGCAATGAACATGTGCTCGCTTCAGATGCAACCAATCCAGTGGGTGCTTCTCTCCTCTCCACTGCCCCATGTGCCGTGCTCTTCACCAAATGGCCTCGCATTGCAACAAACCCCTGCTCCACCCGTCCACGCCCGTGGGTGTGTGTGCATGGTCAGCGTGCCACCTTGCCGCGGATGATGGCCTCTGCCTTGCGCACCTCCCTCACCGGCCCGATGATGAACACCTGCCGCCCATGCACACCCGCACACGCCACACACACGGGTTGGGCCAGGGGGAGGACAAAGTGGTGAGGAGGGCGCAGCTTAGGCAGGACAGGTGAACTGGGGGTTGGAGTTCAGAAACTTTGGGCGAAATGTGACTGAGAGCAAGAGCAATGCGCAGCATGGAGAAACGAGGAAAAGTGGATGGCTGGGATCAAAAGGAAGACACCCACCTTGTCTGGAGGGCCCTTCTGTCCTCCCAGAACGATGTGCGCTCTGTTGGGGGAGAGGGGGGAGGGTGCACGACGCAGAGGATGAGAGGTGTGGGGTGATGAGTGTGCTGCGCTTACCAGACAAGGTGGTGCTTGTGCAGAAGGAGGTGCGCGTGTGTGGAAAAGGGAGTGTGAAACAGATGGAGAGGGGATGGGACGCAAGGAAGCATGCTATTGACCGGAAACGGAGATGTTGCTATTGTGAATAAGAGAGAGAACAGGGGTGGAAAGAGGGAGTGAGAGGAGCAGCGCGGATGGTTACTTGCAAGACTCCTTGATGGAGCGGATGGTCATGCCCTTCCTGCCAATGACCAGCCCCATGAGCCCCTGTGGCACATCCACCACTGACAAGATCTCCTCTATCGGCTCTGCCAGCCCCGCCTCCGCTCCTGCACTGCTACTGTTCTCCACAACCTGTTGCATCCCATGCACCCATGCACCCATACACGCGTGAGAGACACACATACGCACACACGCAGCCATGACCCCACCTCGTTCCCCCCACCGTTCACTCACACAAACACAGAGAGAATAATGAGCCACAGCCGGTCTCTAACGATTCGCCCCAAACAATGGGAGAACTCCAGAAGTTCAGCACCCAGCGCACCCACTTCCGATCTTCCATTACTCCAATCCCCTCCCTCCACATTCTCCCTTCCCATCCCTCCTACATTCCCCCCCTCCTCCGCACCCCATACCCCCCCCCACCCCCCCCCCCCCCCCCACCCCCTCCCCTCCCACCTCCTTAGCACGCACAAGCCCGTCATCCTGCCAGGGCGTGGGAGCGGGCCAGTCATGCGCGCCCAGGCAGAAGCACCGCGCGTGCAGCTCGCTCTGCACCGCCAGCTGGCGCAACTTGGTTGGGCCATTGGGGCTGGCGAGCAGCAGCGCGTGCATGCGGCGGTGGATGGCGGGCAGGAAGCGCACGTCGTCCGCTGCGGCGCGCAGCATCACTGCCGTCCACGGCCTGTGCTTCCAGAACGTGGGGTCCTGCGAGGGGGATGGACGGGAGGGGCGACCACAGGAACGAGGAGAAGGGGGGGTTGGGGTTGGAAGGAGGGAGTAAGCGAAGGAGCAAGGGAGGAGGGGGGAGTGGAGAGCAAAGGAGAGAAGGAGGAAAGAAGAGAGGGAGGGATGGAGGGACGGCAGTGAAGGTGCATGGGCACATGGTTATATTTGCAAGTCACACATTCCTCTTCCCTCCCCCCCCCCCCTTTCGCACACACGTGATAATGCACCAGCAGGGGCACGCGCACACAGGCGACGGAGGGTGGACATATGTGGGTGTGAGAGGAAAGGGGAAGGAGGGGGAGAGAAAAAGGGAAGTGGGTCTATAGCAAGCAGGCTGACACTTGGAAAGACACGGAGGGAAGGTGACACGACTGTGGTTGTGCAAAGAGGAATGTGTTAGAATCCCTCTACTCTTGTAACCTGCATATATACTATAGGATAGGCTAGAGTTAAGCACCCAAACTTAGTTTGGGTGTACAAACAGGGGTAACCCAGTTTGTAGGTTGGAACCCAACCTTGGTCCAATTATTGGACCCCAAAAGGTTGGGTTGGGTAGAATTATTGGCCCCCTCCAATAATGTTGGCCCAACCCCAACTTGGCCAACATTATTGGACCCCACCAATAATCTTCCAACCCAACTTCTTGGTTGGGGTCCAATAATGTCACCTTAGGTTAGCATCCAACCCCATTACTGTGTATACCCCCATGATTCTCAATCAAGTCATCAACTTCATTCCTAACTCCTATTCTCACATGGTATAGAGCTATCAATCCTAGGCCTACTCCACTCGTTTCAAAGGCCCACCCGGCCGCCGCAACCCCCGGCCTCCTCCCTCATTTTTTCCTCGCAGCTATCCTGCCGCTCTCCCCCCCTTTAGCGCCCTTTCCCTCCACAGCTCCGCGGCCTCCCTAGCCGATGCGGCCCGCGCCGCTCCCTTCCGCGGCCTTCTCGCCGCCTCCGCGCCCGCTTCGCCGCGGCCTCCCAGCCGCTGCCGCCCGCGCCGCTCCCCTCCGCGGCCTCGACGCCGCCTCCGCGCCAGCACAGCCGCGGCCTCGCTAGCCGCCGCCGCCCGCGCCGCTCCCCTCCGCGGCCCCGACGCCGCCTCCGCGCCCGCCTCGCCGCGGCCTCGCCAGCCGCCGCCGCCCGCGCCACTCCGCGGCCTCGACGCCGCCTCCGCGCCAGCGCAGCCGCGGCCTCGCCAGCCGCCGCCGCCCGCGCCGCTCCCCTCCGCGGCCTCAACGCCGCCTCCGCGCCAGCGCAGCCGCGGCCTCGCCAGCCGCCGCCGCCCGCGCCGCCCCCCTCCGCGGCCCCGACGCCGCCTCCGCGCCCGCCTCGCCGCGGCCTCGCCAGCCGCCGCCGCCCGCGCCACTCCGCGGCCTCGACGCCGCCTCCGCGCCAGCGCAGCCGCGGCCTCGCCAGCCACCGCCGCCCGCGCCGCTCCCCTCCGCGGCCTCGACGCCGCCTCCGCGCCAGCGCAGCCGCGGCCTCGCCAGTCGCCGCCGCCCGCGCCGCTCCCCTCCGCGGCCCCGACGCCGCCTCCGTGCCCGCCTCGCCGCGGCCCCGTCAGCCGCCGCCGCCTGCACCGCTCCGCGGCCTCGACGTCGCCTCCGCGCCAGCGCAGCCGCGGCCTCGCCAGCCGCCACCGCCGCCCGCGCCGCTCCACCGCCTCGACGCCGCCTCCGCGCCAGCGCCGCCGCGGCCAGCCGCTGCCTCACCAGCCGCGGCCTCACCAGCCGCTGCCGCCCGCGCCGCTCTCCTCCGTGACCACTGCGGGTCCACCCGCAGCCGTCCATCATGGCTAACGCCACACCCTCCCCCTCCCCCCTCCCTCCTCCTATTGATACCTCCTCCATCGATAAACTGCAGCTCGCAGCGGACAAATCCGCCGTCAACTGGCACTCATTCGTCGGCAGCATCCGACGAGTCCTCTCCGACGCATGGGTTCCCCCCTACCGCGTCCTTGACGTCATCCTCCGCCGTCCCCATGCCCTCCCCCCCACCGAACCTGACCACCCCGGCGAGACTCCTCCTCTCCCTCCCTCTCCTGGCGATCCCCCTCTTGAACCCGACCTCCAGCTCACCGCCGACCAAGCCACCGCTGATGCAGATTTCATCTTACGCCGCCGTGCATACCTTATCCGCAAAGCCGAGTACGATGCAGCAGTTGACGCCTATGACCAGGCGGTTGCTGGCCGCAATGCTCACCTCGCCATCGTCGCCAAATACAAAGACGACATGGCTGCCTTCACCCCAAAACTTATCGCCTGGACAGCTGCTGACACCCGCGCCTGCACCGTTCTCCTTGGTGCTCTCCCTGACTCCCTCATGCGCCGCTTCCAGGCTCGGGAACTCCGTGCCTCGGTCATCTGGGCAAAACTCCATGCCATGTTTGAGCGCCGGGACATCAGTTCCGTCGGCATCCTCTTTCAAGAATACTTTTCAATCACCCTCGCCACCTGTGACGGAGCAGTTGACTATGTCGGACGCATGAGAGAGGTAGCTGATCGCCTCGAAGCACACTCTTCCCCTCTGGTAAGGTAACTAGTCTCCACATCCCCACCCTCCGTAACAACCTCCTCTCCCACCGTGAAATCCAAAATGCAGGTATCACTGCCGTCTATCCAGGTAATGCCACCTACTGTGACCTCTACCACACCGCCACCGGTCGCTTCCTTCTACGCATTCCCCTCTGCCCCCGCACTCGCCTCTACACTCTCCGCACCCCTTGGCCATCCTTCTGCCATGTCACCACTCGTGCTGGCACCTCCACTAACCCTCCCCATCCCCCTACCTCACCTCCGCGACAGCAGCAGCAGCCGCCACAGCAGGGGCAGC